CCCCCCGCCTGACCAGAGGGGCTCCCATCTGCTGGGCAGGAGAGCCAGGCCGTGGAGAGCACGCGGGACTCGGCTGTCCCCGTCCCCTGGGGGAGGAGGACACTTACCCCAGTTACTGTTCTGAGACACAGGTTTCTGTAGAAACAGAGGCACAGCCAGGGTGAGAAGGGGCCCGGCCAAGGGTTCCAACCCCACCACACCCCGAGACCGGAAGCAGGGCCCTTGTGAGGGGAGGGGACCACAGGGAGACACCAAGACCGAGACACGTGGGCCACGGAGGGGGCACGGGGGGCACAGGGGGGCACAGGGGGGGCACCCGGGAGGGGCAGACCTCTCACCCTTCTGTTTGGGCACGAATATGTTCTCCTCCTGGAATCCCTTGCGCTGTGCGAATCTCTGAAATTCCTCCAGAGCCTCTGCGTTTGGCTCAGGCGTCTTTCCTGTGGGGTGGGGCGGGCCACTGAGCAGAGGGGCGGTGGGGACACAGCTCTGCCACCAGCTGCTGACGGGAGGACCTGGCCACTGGCCGGCACTGAGGGTTTCGCCCTCAGTGGCTTGGGGCAAAGTGGAGAGGCCCAACGGCGGACCAGGAGGTCTGAGGTGGGGACTCGCTGAGCCCCGGGGTGACCTGGGGGCCGGAGGAGGCCAGTGGGCCCGCGCCACTGGCCTAGAAGGACCCTCTGTCTCCATGACCCCCTCCCATCCTGAGATCTCAGGAAGTGACTCCTGCCAGCCTTGGGGATGGGCACCGCCCCTGACAGCCCCACCCAGCTGGCCCTCCTTCCCTTTCAGAGCCGGGGTCTCCCTGGGAGCACACCAAGGCCAACACCCCGAAGCAGGCCCGAGAGAGTCCTGTAGCCACAGCTGCTGCCCATCCCACTGGCTTCTAGAAGCCCAGATGGTAGGGCAGGAGACGAGAGTCTCGGAGGGGCTCTCACCCATGAGCTTTGCAATGCGGAATGTCTTCCCGAAATGCTGGCCTTCAGCAAAGAAGACGGAGTGGTCCTTCATGGGCAGATGCTCTATGTAAATGAGCTTCTTTCTTTCTACTGTAGAAATAGAGCAAGCAGCTCTTTAGCATCTTCATTCCTGGAGAAAGCATTCCAGGCCACAGGAAGGAAGAGTCTAGAACGTTTTGATGATGACTCCTAGCCAGCCTGGCCCAGGCCTTGCTGTGGCTTCAGTCACCGCACAGGAAGCCCCTCCCGGAGGGAGCCAGCCCCAGCCGAGGAGCCCAGGGGATGGACAGCAGAGGAGGTCAGGTGGGAGCGAGGCCCACCCTCCCGTCTCTACTCCTCCCTGCTTCCCGTAGGCCTAACTTTCCCAGTGGAGGAGCCAGGACCATCGGAGGGAGGGAAGTCCACGTCCATCTCTGCTGTGAACAAGACTGTGACAGCTGGTGGCTGGTGTCAGGCCACAGGCACCCAGGAAGGGAGACAGAACCCCCCCCCATCCCCAGAGGGTAGCACCCTTGTCCCCAGGGATCAGGAGATCAGGTCAGACTCACCATCTATGTATTTTCCAGGCTCATCGGTTTTCTGCATCTGAACTTTTATCTCATGGCACCGACCCTCATGCCTGGAAAACAGGGGCCATGGTGCTCTCAGGATGCCCGCCTGGCCCTGCTCAGCTTACCTGGTATAGTGGCCCTCCCTCACTTGGTGTCCCTGAAAATCACACTGCACTCCTGCCTTAAGCATTCAGAGGCCAACTCCCAAAACACAGGCGGGCCAGGGCAGAACATTTGGACCGAGGAGTCCCTCGTGGTGAGACTCACATGATGGTGGCCCTGGCCTCCAAATTTCCACCTTCCAGGGTTGTCACTGTTATGGGAAACGCTTCTTGGTGCATCTTCTCCTTGGCCGTGTTCTTGTGACTTGCTACTGCCTTTTCGTACCAGGTCCCTGCGAGCTAGAGCAGACCAAGGGGTGAGCCCGCTCCAGCCCAGCCCAGGTCTCCCCGGGCTGTGACATGCCACCCGCAGTCTAAACAGACATTCCGGCTGCCGCCCCGGAGATGGGTGCGCCCCGACGGGCTGCACCACTGTGCTCAGTAAGCTGAGCCCAGAACTCTCAGATTGCGATCCCAGAGGGGCAGAGGGCATCTGCTCCCCAAGGATCTGTTCTCGTTGGGGTCTGGACTCTGTAACAGGTGAATCTGTATTCCTGAAGGTCTGCCCTGTGAGCACTTCTGGTTCCAGGGGTCACCTGGATGGAACCCCTGACCCAAACCTGCCCCGCTCCATCCCTGTGCCCAGGAGAGCCTGTGCCCCTATCCCAGTGCCTGGGGGGAGCCTGGTCCAATGGCAGACTCCAGGGACAGCTGTATCTGACCGCTCCAAGACGCACTCCTGACACAGGGCTCAGGACCACTGCTCACCCACCAGTCACCAGCCTTTCTCCTACCCACCCCAAGGCCCCAGCCTCACATTCTGTGCCTCCGGGAGGCCAGACAGGGGTTCCTGGGCCTGCAGGGCAGCCACCAGCCCGAGCAGCACGGCAGTCAGGAGCAGGGTCTTCATCTCCGGCTCTGTGCTCACAGATGAGGCAGGTCTCCTGTGTTGTCTAGAGGAGACGGACGCCTTTTATGTCCCCCACGGCCAGTAGCCCATGCCTACATGGCACTGACCACACTCCTCCTGTCCATCTGTCATGGCCAAATCTACGTCCATCATGGAGGTGGAAGGGTGTTATTGTTGGAATCTGATGAATAGTAACTCAGTGCTCACAGAGCAGCCATGCTGTGGGGGGTGGGTAGGGGGGGTGGGGAGGGGGGACCCGTCATTCAGTGTGCTGGCACATGGGTCTGTATTTTAAAATGAGGGGGAAGGCCTTAGCTTCCTCACCCTCCCTTCCAACACACCCTCTGGCCACCCACGTCCCGCCTGGGCCCTGTTCCCTGGGGAACTGTGTCTCACCTTACATCACTGAGGAAGGGGCTGAACTTCTGAACCACAGACAGCCCCCACCCCGGCTCCCTAGAGCCCCAGCCCTGTGTCCATGGAGTCCTCTCACTTCCCTCCCGTGCCTCACCCTGAGCTTCCTGGGAATGGGCATCGATCTGGGTCTGCTGAGACGTCACCAGCTCGGGACAGGCCCCAGCCCATACGGCGGATCAACGTCCCTCCCCCCTGCCCATTCTGCACCGAGGCCAGCCACACTTGTTGAGAGCCCTCCCAGATGCCGCTTGCTTTGCCTTTTCCAACCTGTGGCCATCGCTCAACTCCTCAGTCCCACTTTATGTTCTCCAAGAGTAGAGGCTTGACCATGTGGCCCGCAATTTTATCTGGACTTTATTGAAGAGCTCCCAGCCACATGTTTGGGGTCATGAATATTTGTTCACTAAAGGAAGAAGTCATGAATTTTCAACCCTGTCTCCAACAAGCACACTTAGACCCAGAGACCTGGAAGATTTTCATTCCAGGCCACTCCAGGCTAAGAAGTTTTCTAGACTCCATCTCTAAAATTGCCAGCAAAATGCATGCTCAGGTGGTAAAACATCCGCCTAGCAAGAATGAAGCCCAATACCACAAAAAAAGAAGGAAGATGTCAAATAGAGGTTCAACAACTTATAGAATCAATGAAACAAAAAGTTGGCATTAAGTACATATGACTGATAAATTCTTAGCCAATTCAACTAAAAGAAGGGAGGAGGTTGGAGATGTGACTAAGTTGGTAGAACACTAGCCGATGATCTAAAGCATTAGATATGGTGTTTGAGGGACGGTCGCACCTTTAAAAAGAAGCAGGGGGGAAGAAGGGAGAGCGCCATATATTTAGATGCACTTGATCTACTGAAATTGAACCAAGAGGATATAAATCTCTTAAACAGTCTACAGTAAGCAGTAATAAAATGTCTCCTAACAAAGAAAATGTCAGAACCCAGGGTACTCACTACTGAATTCTACCAGCACTTAAAAGAAGCATGAATAGAAGTCAAGCTTTTCCATGAAATAAAAAGAGAAGTAACACTACCAAACATTTCATGAAGCAAGTATTACACTCATTCCAAAACCAGAAAAAGACACCAAAAATAGCATTATAGATCAATCTCTTTGATAGACATGAATACAAAATTTCTCATTAAAATAACTGCAAACAAAATTCAATAACACATTGAAAACATTATATACCATAATCAAGTTTATGTTGTTCCACGAATGCCAGGATGGTTCAACACACATAAATCCAAAAACACAATACAGCACATAAACAGAATCAAAGACAAGGCTCATATGATCATCTTGATTAAAGAAGACAAGCCTTGATAAAATTTAACATCTTTTTATGATAAAATTTTAGAATAGAAGTACCTCAGTATAATAAAAGTTGCATATTAAAGACCTATAGCCAAATTCATACTAAACAAGGAAGAATTAAATAATTTCCTCTAAAGTTAAGAATGAGACAAGAATGTCCACTCTCTCCACTCCTATTCAATATAGTACTAGAGTTCTTATCTAGCACAATTAGACAAGAGAAAGAAATAAAAAGTACCCAAGTAGGGAAGGAGTCAAATTATCCTACTTGAAGATATGACCCAATACCTAAAGATTCCAAATCAAGGGCTGGGAAGGTGGCTCAGTGGTAGATCGCTTGCCTTGTATGCATGAGGCCCTGGGTTCGATTCCTCAGCACCACATAAGCAAAAACAAAAAAGCTGGAAGTGGTGCTGTGGCTCAAGTGGTAGAGTGCTAGCCTTGAGCTGAAGAGCTGAGGGACAGAGTCTAGGCCCAGAGTTCAGGCCCCATGACCGGACCCAAAAAAAAAAATCCAAGTCAAACTCTTAGATCTGATAAACACCCTAAGCCACATATCATGACACAAAAATCAAAATATTCCATTAATTAAATCTGGGGAAGAAATTGAGAGAATAATTCTATTCACAATAGCCTCAGTAACTAAGTAAACTAAATATCTGGAAATAAACCAAGGAGGAAAGGTATCTACAATGAAAACTATAAAACTTTGAAGAAGAAAGTTGAAGAAGATACGATAAAATGGAAAGATTGACCTGTAATCCTAGCTACTCAGAAGGCTGAGTTCTGAGAATTGTGGTTTGAAGCCAGCCTGGGCAACAAAGTCCATAACTCATCTCCAATCACTAAAATAAAAAAAAGGAAGTGGATCTGTGGCTCAAGTGGCAGAGTACAAGCCTTGAGCAAAAAAGATCAAGGACAGCATCAAGGCCCTGAGTTCAAGCTCTGACTGGGAGGCACACACATACATACATACACACACACACACACACACACACACACATACACACACACACAGAAGAGATGGAAAGACTCTCTGTACCCATGAACTGGCAGCATTCATAGTATCCAATAATTATAATACTTTAATTGCAAATGTTGCCAATACCTCCAGTATCTAACAAGATGACAGTGGTCTGATCAAAGTCAAATTCCCCTTAGATGAGATACTGTGGATGCTCTGAAGGAATAAAATATCTACCCATATGTTCAATGACATTTGCACAGTATAGGCCAAGCACTCTTCTAGACACAGGAACTCACCAGGGAAGGAAGCAAACCAAAGGTTCTGCTGTCCTAGAATTCACATTCTAGAGGCAAAAAAAGAGAAAAATACACAAAATACTTGAGTGAATATGATGTCACATATCAAGCTCTTGCCTTTAACTCTAAGCACACCTTTCATTGCCTGCTCTGTAATAATGGAGATGGACTCAGTGGGCACTTTTCTTTTGTACACAGCATGAATATAACTTTTATTAGAGGCCCAGGAAGCAGGGCCTTCCCCTCCAGTCCCAGGATGCTTCCAGCTCTTTCTTTTCCATCCTCCTGCTGTGTAATGACCAGTGTCACAGGTAGGGGACATCATGGCCTCTTTCACGCTGACTCAGTGGCCCCACCACGTGGCTTCCTGTTGAGCTCAGTGACACTCCACTAGTGACTCCCAGCGAGTCTTGGGGCTCTCCAGCCGCAGGTCACCATATCTGGAAGGGAAGGGAGGCTTCCTGCTTGTCTGGCCACCCACCTTCCCCACCAGCTGTGTGCACTGTCCATTACAGCTCTTCCCCAGGCAGCCCAGAGAAGGCCCGCCACCCCTGGGCCGCAAGCACACCAAAGAGCGGGGCCTGAGCCTTGTGGAGGGGTCTCAGCCCGGGTCAGTCCTTCCTCAGCTGCTCTGCAGCAGCCTGGGGCTGTTCTCCATTGTCCTCCTTACACTGGTGCTGGCAAGTGTTCAAGTGTTCACCACACACACTCTCCCTGTTCTGTCTACTGTGTGGTCCTGCCTCCTGACTGAACACTGATGTATATAATTACAAATTATTCTGAAAGGTCATAAGTGTGATGAGGAAAAAGCAAAGGGAACAAAGTAGACAGGGAAAGTTGAGGCAAGAGGGGGTGTTTGTATTTTCAATGGAATGGCACACGTCACCTCCCCAAGTTGACATTTGCACCTGGAGTTGAAGATAGTGGGGGAAATGAGCCATGAGAGCCAGGAGGAGGAGGAGTCAGCTGGGAGAGGCCCACAGTGCAGGCCCAGAGAGGAGAGGGAGCCGGGGCTGTGCCAGGAACAGACTGCAGGGTAGAAGGCTGCCCTCTCTGGGTAGAACACAGAGCGGGCAGGCCTGACGAGGGTGGGCTCCTGGCTACTGCAAGGACATTAGTCCATCCCTGAGTGGAATGGGGAGGTGCTCGGGGCTTTGATGGAGTACAGAGGGGGTGGGACTGATTTAGATGGGCTCTGGGCCACCATGGTACTTTGGTCCTTTCCCTGAGTAAAATGAGGAGACGCTGCGGCTGGGAGCTCTGACAGAGTCAGGACATGACTTAGACTTTTAGAAGGTCACTACAGGTTCTATACTGAGAACAGACATTGAGGTGGGTAGAATACACAAGCAGTTGGAAAGATACTGCAATCGTCCAGACCAGAATGATAGTGAGAGGACATCTACCCAGGCATCAGCGGTGGCAGCTCGCCAGCTGGGCTCCCAGGTCATCTGTAATAATTGGACAGCCATTGTGCAGGCTGGCACATTCCCTGAGCCTCTCATGTCCATCTTCCAGACACCACAAGATCAAGTGGCTCAGGCAGTACTTCTGTTATACTCGAATTCAGTCATGAGAAAACAGAGAAGCCACATTTTGAGAGGTCCATCTGGGAGTCTTTATTGGAGAGCTGACGGCTACGGGTGGACTCCTGTCACAAAGACCTGAAGACCCTCAACTACCCTTAACACTGTTAGAAAACAGCCATAAGTACAGGAGAGGAAAGAAAGAACAGAAGAACAATACCAACAAACCAGATCGGCTCCAATGGAGAGCTGACCAGAGGGGAGCTGGAAACACGAAGCATGGCATAGTGGTGTCTGGGTTGGTCCAGGCCTAATTAGGGACAGGCGCAGGGGGCAGGGTCACAGGAAACTTGAGGGTCTCATGAACTCAAGGCACAGGACTGACGGTTCCAGTAACCTATCATCCAAGTCCCTGCCCCGCCTCTAAGAATTCAGGCTGAGGGTGGAGCTTCCCTGACTCTACCAGGAAAACAA